TATACAACGACAGGCAGAGGCTTAGAGTTCAGATTGGGGTACCAAGGACCATTGGGTCAGAGGACTGACCCAGAATGAACCTGAATTGGGGTGCATCAACCTTCTACCCAACACCCATTGCCCTAGGAAGGGGCTCTGCAACTTGGTCAGCTTTCTGTTTTTCTGCCCCATACAATAGGTGTCCCAAGAAGGGACAGGTGCAGGTGACTTTGTCACAGGCAGCTGCCTGGGCCACAGAGTTGGACTGGCTTTGAAGAAAAGCTCCTTTTAAATTAGGTGGCAACATCAAAGAAAAGCCTCTGGAGCTTTTGTTGGTTGTTTTTTGTTTGTTGGTTTGTTTTGCTTTAATTTGTCTTTACATGGGTTTTTGTGCTTTTTTTTCCTTCCACAAACAAGAATAAGTTTATTTCTTAACAAAAAAGAGGCCCAAAGCCAAGAAGTTTCCGGAAGTGGATCTCTCAGCAGATCAGTGACATCATCCAGGAGGGAGCTTCTCTCCTGCTGCCTCCAGCCATTCATGGGTGTCTCCCAGGGGGGCCCAGATGGCTGTCAGGTCATTTGAAAAATGCATGAATATTTTACCTTATAAAGGATAGTGGGAGTCCTTGGGCAGGGGGATGAGGTGTTGTTTATGTGGAGGTCAGTTTTGCAAGATGGAAATGTTCTAGAGATGGATGCTCAACAATGTGAATATACTTAACACACCTGGACTGGACTTTTAAAAATGGTCAAGATGGTCAGTTTCATGTTGAGTGTATTTTATTACAACATAAAATTAAAAAAAAAATCAAAGTCTCAATCTCTTGATTTTGGTTGACTTTTAATCCCAGAGGTCTTAGTCCCTATCTCGTTGTCATCTAGTGAGCCAAAGGAGAAGCAGGAGTGCTGTCAGTCAGGGATGGAAAGTTCCAGAACTCAGTAGTCACCCAGGCTTAAGGTCACACCTGGCACAGAGCGTACTAGTCTCTTCCATTTCTGATTGTTTTCCACTTGAGGGAAGCACAGCTTCAGTTGCAGACTGGGGCTGGCTGAGGCCTGAGCATTGGTGTTAGAGATGAAGACCCTTCTAGAACTGCCGGAGCAGGGCTTCCAGACTCAGCCCTCTGATATTTGCATGGTAAGCCTCTGCAGGGGGATGAGCTGGAGGGCGTCCTGGACTTGTTGGCACCACTGTCTCCAAACCACAAGCAGCTCTGCACCCACTTTCTTGCCAGCACTGGTTTCTCCCACTGTGGGTGCCTCAACATTCTGTACCTTCTAGAACACAACGAATTGCAAATCACCCAAGTAACCATGCATAGGTATGGAGTGAGTGCCGACACTGCTGATTCACTATCTCATTCAATCTTCTTGGCAATGCTCTGGTGCAATAATTAACAGGCTCCTTTAATTGTAAGGAAGCTGGAATTCAGAGAGACCGTGCTCTCATCCCAGCCCCCGGAGCTGGTCGATATTGAAACCAGGTTCTGATCGCTCCTGAAATGACTGCTTTACCTTTCTTTTAATTCATAGACTGCTGTCTCAGAGGACTTTCAGCTATCTGTATGATAATGCCAGCTTTATTTTATAATTTCCCTGGATATTGATATGTAAGGATGTTACCAGTGCCCACAAAGGCAGCTTCGACTCAACAGCTCTGACTCAGAGATGGATCCTCAGAGTCAGGAGATAAGCCCATGTCTGCATTCAGGCGAGGCTGCCGCCCAGGGCTCCCAGCTGTCCCCTTCCCAGCTGAGGTCATGCCAGAATGTCCAGCAGAGGGCAGACCTGTGCCCTCCTCCCCCCTGCCCCACCATGGACACAAGTGGGGCCATTCCTGAAGATTTGGAATGGAGATGAAGAAAGGTTTTGGGAAAATAGCACCTTAGAGGTCACTTGCTTGTCCAGCAGCGGGGCCGTTTCTAATATTCTTTAAAGCATTTTTTTTAAAGATTTATTTATTTATCCATCCAAGAACTGGGGTACAGGCCAGAGGTGTGAGGGTGAGAGGATTCACCAGAGACAATGGGGAACAGAACAGGCAGACTGACTGAAGTACACTGCTGAGGGGAGCAGTGGGGAGACAGGAGAGGTCTGCAACGCCATGTGGGATTCTCGCCAGCCGGCTAGGGATTGAACCCACGCCACAGAAGCTGTGGCCAACTTCATAGCGCTGCACTCAACCACCTGCGCCACCAGGGAGGCCCTCTAATATATTTTTTAAAGCATTATTTTTTTTTAAAGATTTATTTTTATTTATTTATTTTACATGCACTGGGTACAGTCAGAAGCGCGGGAGGGTGAGAGAATTCACCAGAGCCAGAGCGGGGAGCAGAACAGGCAGAAGGACCGAAGTACACTGCTGAGGGGAGCAGCGGGCGGCAGGAGAGGTCTGCGCGCCATGTGGGACCCTCCTCCGGTGGCCGGGGAGCAGCCGGGGATCGAACCGGGGCTGCAGAGGCTGCGGGCAGCTTCGGAATCCAGCGCTCAACCACTGCGCCACCGGGGAGGCCCATAAAGCATTTTTTTAAGAGTTATTTATTTATGTTTCCAAGAACTGGAGCACAGTCCAGAGATGTGGGGTGGGGGGGTGAGCTGATTCACCAGAGACAATGTGGAACAGAGAACAGGCAGACTAACTGAAATCCACTGCTGAGGGGAGCAGCAGGGAGACAGGAGAGGTCTGCGCGCCCTGTGGGTCTTAACCCCTTGCACCACCAGGGAGGCCCCTGTTTCTAATATTTTTGTGGGCAGTGTATTTAAGTTGTCTTGTTCTTTCAAAAATGCATAATGCCCATCAAAGCCTTTAATGAAAGGGGCTGTTGGGTGAAACAACCACTAAGACCTCTGGAGAGAAAAAGAAAGTGTTGTCTTTAAGGCAAAAAGCACATCACCTAGTTAAAATAGGACCTTGGCTTTGCCATCCTATTCCTGACTTTTCATCATGAGGCTGATCATAGTCTGCAAGTATGCTGGGAGCGAAGCAGTTTCTACTGTGCAACACCATGAGGAAAGAGGGGTTTCCTCTATTACCACCCCCACCGCCCCGCCCCATCTCGCAGGGGCTCAGGGCCAGGACTTCAAGTCAGGGCCATGTGTTCTAGCCTCAGCAGGCTCCAAAGGCAGGACGAAGAATACAGATGGCAATATCTGTGTTGAGACAGGAGAGCCCTATTGGTCTTTAATTTCTGAAGAAAGAGAAACCCACAGAATGTTTGAGCAAAATTCTGCCCAAAAAAACAAAGGCGGGGCCTCTCTGGTGCTGCAAGGGATTAAACACTACACTGTGAAGCTGTCCACAGCCACTGTAGCACGAGTTCGATCCCCGGCCAGGGAGCTACCCACAGGGCGCAGCAGACCTCTCCTGTCCCCCTGCTGCTCCCCTCAGCAGTGTATCTCAGTAGATCCGCCTGTTCTGCTCCCCACTCTGTCTCTGGGAAATCCTCTCACCCCTCACATCTTTGGCCTGCAATCCAGCTCTTCTGTGCATAAATAAACAAATCTTTGCAAAAACAGACATACAAATCAACATAATGTCCAGGATGATGCTCTGATGAGTTTCCCCCAGTTTTCATTTTGATGTGTTTACCTGCCTGCAAGCTCCAGGAAAACCACTTCTTCAGGTTTGTTTAGTCTCCCGGAGGAGCGGGTGTATCCTGCGGCGTGGCCCCTCTGCTAGCTCCTCACCACTAGCCATGTGCCTGGCCGGGCCTGCTCATCGAGTCTTCAGTGTCCTCTTCCTGCCTGTGTTACCACCAGCGTTTCTGTAGCATCCATTGTTTTGCAAAATCTCCTCTGCATTGGCGGGTGGAAGAAAGTAAGGAGTAGAACACCCCTACCACCTTGACTCTTCCTCATGACTCCCAAATGTCAGTGTTGCGAAGGCTAGTGCAATGGTCATTCAGCAAAAAAATCTAAAGACTGCCCAGTTTCTGTTTCTCGGATGGGGGAAGAGAGAGGAAAGTTCTCTCCGAGCAGTGAGTTTCCTCCAGAAACAGCCCACCTATTGGGTTCATGTGTTTCATGTCATGTTAGAGCAATTAGTTCCTTGCAAACCATACAAAAGGACAGAAGTTTCAAGGCTTGGAATCACTATGGCAACGTCTCAGCTCCCCTGCCATGTCCAGGTCTTGGAATGGGAGGCACTGGTCATGCCATGGCCCTGAACTTGGCCACAAGACCTCAGGGGTCAGCCACTCGGTGCTCAGGAAGTAGACTTTTGCAGCATCCCGAGCAAAGTCCCCTGTTATGGGGGTGTACTGGGCCCCCAAAGATAGATGCAAGTCCTAATGTCTGAAACCTGGGAACGTGACCTTACTTGAAGGGTTCTTTGCAGGTGAGATTAAGGATCTAACCCCTGGGAGTTCCAACTGCAGGTGTCCTTGTGGGAGAGTGGACATACGGACCCGGGGAAGGCATCACATCATGCGAAGTGGGACTCAGGTGTCAGAGGGTTGTGGCCACAAGCCAAGGAACACCTGGAGATATTAGAACCGGAAGAGGCAGGACCGATCCCGCCCTGGAGCCCTCCCCACAGAGGGAGTGCGGCTGAGGTCACAGACTCTGGCCTCCAGGCTGTGAGACAATGCATCTCTGCTCGTTAAGCCTGTCCCCCCATCCATGGCAGCTCAGGAAGGAGACCCTGTGGGTGACCACTGCCCCCACCTCCCACACCTGTCTGTGTTTGAGGTGGAGAAAAGAGCTCTTTAATGTTGACTGAAGAACACATTTTTTTTCCTTTGAAAAAAGGTGAAACTTTTTCATGGACTCACGGTGGGGGGGGGGTCCCCCAAAAGTCATATGTTCAGAGTCAGCTCTGCATTGGCTGCATGGGGTCCCTGGACACTTTCTCGACCTGGCGGTAGCCCTGCTCCTATTTCCTCTGGTCCTCCTCTGGGCCAGAAGCTCACTCGAAAGCCCGCTTCCATCGCTACTACTCCTTCACTCTCTGGAAGAATTCTCTTTTTGTGGCATCATAAATGGTTTCCATGGAAATGAAAGGTTGAGTGAGAATGGTGCCCGTGTGCATGTAAACTTCAGAGTTTAACAAGGGCTATTGTTTTCGCCTGCCGCTGAGAGTCGTTCACTCTGAAGACGTTGTGGGCCACTTGGGATGTAGAGCCCCGGCTTCCTCATGTTCTAGCACATTCCAACCCTCATGGCTTACAGCACTGAGTAATGCAGGAACACCCCAGACCTTCCTGTCCCTGGCTCTTAGGCTCTCTCTTCTCTTGGCACTGGGGTGTCAATGTCAACAGGTGAGCTGTGGGTCAGCACGTGGGATCCACAGGGTAGGCTGTAGGCGAGATGGAAATCTGGGCGGGGCTGTCACAGCCTGAGACGTCGCCAATCGAATTCACCCTTTGTTTTGTGCCAAAGCTGGACACGCAGTTGGAAGGCAGACCCACGGCCATGTGCCCTCGCCCACAACCCTGAGGCCATGGGCTGTGAGATTGCACCTGCTTCTGCTGGCATAGAAGGTGAGGCCTCTGTGGAGCTCAGCCTTCTCTGAGATGGTCGTGGCAGGAGAAGAGACTGCAGCCGAGCCTCTGATGGACCCGGTGCACCAGACAGTCACCTGCATGAGGGCCCCAGCTGGGCTTGTCAGCCACTGATGCTCTGCACCCTGGTCATCCCCTGGTAACCCTTACTTCAGAGCAGGTGGGGTGATCATTGTACCCAAACAGGAGAGCTTTTGAGAGTGAACGGCAAAACCCACTGTTAGCAAGTAATACGCGCCAGCATTAGCCGTGTGTGCCATCTGAATGGTCCCTGGGAAAGATGGGTCTCTGGTAGTCCTGGCTTTAGGACAACCTGTGCCCAGAGCCACCTTAGGACTCAGCCTCTTCTCTCCTCAATCACGCATCAGCCCCGGCTGTCTGCTCTGGATGCACGTCCTGCCATGGCGCGGCTGTCCTGGGTCCAAGACCATTGCCACCAGTCAGATGTGACTGGTGACACTTGAGATGTGGCTGGCGTAACTGAGGAATAAAATCAAAATTTGATTGATTAGAATATGTTCATTTCAGTGGCCATCCGTGTCCAGGGGCTGCTTCCCTGGCCAATGCACACCTGGATGGTTTGGGTTGATCTCATGGCCCTGATATCACATTTGCCTAGACACCTCCACCGCGTCCCTAAGACACCAACCCCAACGTGCAAGTCCCTAGTTGACATCTTTACTTGAATGTCTAGTAAGCGCTTTAGATTTGACATACTCAAAACTAACCTTCTGTTCACAAGAAGATGCCACTTCACGCCTCTTAAGACGGCTTTTGAAAAGCAGACAAACAGAAAATAACAAGTGCTGGGAGGACATGGAGTCTCCGACCCTTGTGTGTTGCTGTTAAGAGTGTCAAATGGCGCATGCTGTAGACAATGATAGGACAGTTCTTCAAAAACGTAAACAGAATTACCACGTGATCTAGTAATCCTAGGTAGAGACCCAAAAGATCCCAAAGCAGGGAATCAAACCATTTGTTCCTACGTTCCTAACTTCACCGTTCACAATGGCCAACATGGGGAAGCAAACCAAGTACCCATGATGATGGAGGCGATGAACCAAATGTTGAAGACACATAAAATGGAATATTAGCCAGCCTTCAAAAAGGAAGGATGTTTTGATCTATGACATTGTGCATGAACCTTGAAGACATTATGGTGGTTGAAATAAGTCAGGTGCTGAGGGCGAATACTGTGTGATTCTTCTTATATGAGGTGCTAGGGTCATCCAGTTCAGGGAGACAGAAAGTGGACAGGTGGGTGCCAGTGCCGGGGCGGGGGTAGAGCCTAGTGGGGACAGAGCGGGGAAGGTGAAGAGTTCTGATGGAGGGGATGGTGGCACAAAAATGTGAACGTACTTGACGCCATAGACTGGACGCCAAAAAAGGACAAAAATGGTAGATTTTGTCATCTCTTTCACCGCAACAACAGAACCGAGTCTTCTGATTTTCCCTCCGAGCCTGCGCCTTCTGCAGACTTCCTATTTCAGTTTATACCAGCCCCATTTCTCTCCTGCACACGTCAAAGAACTCTGCTTTCCCTGGCGCCATGGCCAGCCGACCTCGGCTGCCCCACGTCCACGGGCCTTCTGAACTCACCACGTCCCAGACCGCCCACCGAGCCGGGCCCCGGACCAGATTCCTGGGTTTTCGCCCTTGCCTGTCGGTGGCCCCTTCAGTGGTCTTGCTGGGGTCAGAGAGCCTCTCCTCCCCCTCGGAGTGACGGTGTCTTTAGCACCAGGGCAAGCCCTGAGGTGTCTGTCCGCCTCGGCCCTCGCCGACTTTGCCCCCTCCCCTTCTGGTTGTCCACTCTGCTCCAGGCTCACAGGCCACCCCCTGTTCTTCAGAAACCCGGGGTGTCCTGCCCTAGGGCCTTGGCCTTTGCTTTGTCTCCTCCGTCTTGGAAGCGCTTCCCCCCAATCTTTGTGGCTGGTCCTCGCTTCTTGGTGGGCCCCTCCAGGCCCGTGTGGAAGCTTCAGCACCCCCAAACACACCCTTTCATCCTTGCTCACTTTTTTTTTTTGGCTGTGTACATGGGGTGCTTTATTCTCCACAGAGTGATACATGCTATGGTGGCTTGGGCTTGGGCCAATGTCCCCATATGTACAGAAATGAATCAAGTGGGTCTCTGAGGAGAAGCCTGATTTGCCTTGATGTGGAACGGGAGATGAGGAGGGTGGAGATACACATGACAACCAGGGGTGTGTTCAGTCCTGTGCTGGTTCCGGCCTGGAATGCAGGGAGATAAGGCAGCTCTCAGGGTGGTCACTGCCAGGCAGAGGTTGCCTGCCGGGCTTGGAGGGCCTTCTGCACCACGTCTTCCCTCTGGGCATCTGATATCTCCCGAGCCCAGGCAGGCACCCCTGGCGCAGGCAGGCTTCCTCCAGCCATCGTGCTCTTCACCAGCTCTACATGTTCTGGGTCCGTGGGACTAGAGCTGTGGCTGCTCAATGCTGTCGCTCCCTCTGCATCTTCATCCTCACTCTCTGATGATGGGTCTGGCAAATGAAGCCCCAGAGCCTGCTGGATCCTATCCTGGATAACAGCAGCTACATCTTCTCCATCCCCCACTGGTGCCAGCCCCACCTCTTCTTGTTCAGGATCTTGGTTCAAGGGCTGGTAGGAGTAGCCAGCTGGGCCTGCCCCGTTTTCCTCCTGCTCTTCTTCAGGCTCCTCACTGCTCCAATCCCCAGTGCCTTCTGGAGGGCCTTGTCACGGCCCTAGTTCCTCCGTGTGATTGGGGAAGACACGCTCAGGGCCCATGGTGTCTCCCCCTAGAACTACTGCTGCCATCCGGGCAGGGCCGCTCGGAGCCCGCCGTGGAACCCGCACCTCCACCTGCTCACTTTTATTCACCCACAAGAGGCCCTAGCTGACGAGCTACACTTGATCCTGTTTCTTTCCAGTCTCCCTATCAGCGTGGATGATGTTTACGGCAAAGGGTTTTAAATCCCTTTTATTCTTTGCCCAGGTCAGCACCGACAGGTGGTTGGCCCTCAGTAAATACTTGTGGCATTAGCGAGAGAACCCAGATGGAGGGGCCTGCTCAGGGTCCTGGCTTTTCGGAAACTCTGTGGTCAGAGGACGCCCAGACTCCTGCAGACACTCGAAGCCCCGTCTGGGGTCTGGCCTGGGGTTCTCGGTCAGGGCTGCCACGGCCCCTCGGGGAGCCTTGGTGACGTCTGCAGACATTTCTGGTTGTCCTGGGAGAGCAGGGGCGGCGGGCCCCTCGTGCCGGGATCTCCACTTGGTAGAGGCCAGAGAGCTCACCTTGCTAAACAGCCTCCAAGGCAGGGCACAGTTCCCCACAGCCAGGAATTACGGAGTAAAATGTTTATAGTGTGAAGGCTGAGAGACCCTGATTTAAGTGACCACATTAGGACTTACATCTGCATTTATTAAGGGGTGAGTTCCTGGGGGGCTGCTGTGCATCAAATCGTGTCGTCCAAAAGAGGTGCCATCAAGTTCTGACCCCAGCTTGAGCCCGTCTTTGGAATTCAGACCTTCACAGAAGTAAGCTAGTGAAATGAGGTTATTAGGGTGGCCCTAAGCCAGCACGGCTGGTGTTCTTACAAAAAGGGGAAATTGGGACATGTGCTCCCCAAAGGGAGAACACGGAGTGGAGGCACAGGCAGGAGACCACTGGCGGGAGGAAAGCAGGCACAGCTGGGCCCTCAGATGGCCTTGGGCCCTGGGATGGCTGGCGCACCTGACAGGGATGAGGCGGGTTTGCGCCAGCTCTTCCTCCCCTGGAGCCATCCGGGACATCCCACCGACACCTTGATTTCAGAGTAGTGGCCCCCAGACTGTGAGAGAATAGATCCCTGTTGTTTGAACCCCCTGGGGGGTATTGGTACCTTGATGGGGCTGCCCTGGGCCATGCATACACGGCTGGGAGGGGATCCAGCGTTACCTCCAAACTTCACACTCACCGGTCTTTGCCCTGAGACAACCAATGAGTCTCTCTGGGAAATGAGAGACTTTAGAGGGTGGTAGCGTGAGCCCCACCCAGGAGACACAAGGGTGTTCAGTCTTTCCGGCGAGCCTCAAACTTGGCACCTGGCGCTGGCCTGGGGCTGCGTGTAGAGCGCCGAGGCTGGAGTGTGTGTTGGAAGCCCCGCCTCCCGTGGGAGAATGGCCCCCAAGTGTGCTGCCATTAACTTTGACTCTATTTCAGCTCCACGGAGGCACAGCCCGCTGAGCCCGTCCAAACGGCCCAATCGCACCCCAGAAAGCTGCAGGTGGCCGACGCTGGGGGCTTCCTGGAGCGTCTGGCCCACCCTCGAGACCCCCCCCTGCAGCAGCGAAACCTCAAGGTCCTTTGGTCCCAAGGAAGGACGAAGCTTTGAACGTGGTCGTGTCTAACAACAAGTAAATAAATAATAAGGATAATTTAAAACTAAGCAAAGATGCGGATGTAAAGGCCACTCCCGGTCCCAGGAGCAAGACCGATGGTGAGTGGCCAGTTTTCATGAAGGGCTCCTGTAGCCCTATTAGCCGTGCTGGGATTCCAGAGAGATAATGTCTTTTCACATATAAGAGATCCTATTGATTTCCTGTTAGTATTATCCTGAAAATGTGCAGCGTGCAGCTACGGAGCAGAGACAATTTTCTAAAACCAGCTTTATGGGAAGAGAATGGTTATTGTAGCTCTTCCCATAAAATATAATCTCTTGTTCTCTTCCAAAATCTACCCGTCCCTCTGGGAATTTCCAGTTGTAATCTGTGGAAGTGAATTGATTTTTTTTTTTTTTTTGCATGTCTCAGTATTTTTGTATCTGGCTTCTCTACGTTTCTCATTGTTTTCTGAAGTCTGGCTTTTCTAGATGGTTATTTGAGCTTGTCTGAAAACTCGTTTTGGATGGGCGCTGTTGAGACACATGTGGTGGTGATGGGTGGTCCCTTGTATGTATGTATTCATGTGTGCATACGTGCATGCATGTAAGTGCACGTATGTGTATGTATCAGGCATGTTTCCATGTGGTACCATTGGTTTATAATACTATTTAGGTCTCAGGGCTACAGCTTCACACCTTAATAAGTATCTACAAGCACATACCATGCCGCTGCCCCCAGAAAGGCCCGGTTTCCAGCCACCACCATCCAATCTACCTCTACCCCTGCCTCCCACCCCTACTCCCTCCCCTCTGATAACCATCTTATTATCAGAGTCTCAGGGTTTGTTTTTATTTATTTATTTTTTTATTTTTTAATTTAAAAATTTTTTTTTTTTATAGAGGCATGTTATTTATTTATTTGTTTGTTTGTTTGTTTATACATGCACTGGGTACAGTCAGAAGCACGGGAGGGTGAGAGGATTCACCAGAGCCAGAGCGGGGAGCAGAGCAGGCAGAAGGACCGAAGGACACTGCTGAGGGGAGCAGCGGGCGGCAGGAGAGGTCTGCGCGCCATGCAGGACCCTCCTCCGGTGGCCGGGGAGCAGCCGGGGATCGAACCGGCACCGCAGAGATCGCGGGCAGCTTCGCAACCCAGCGCTCAACCGCTGCGCCACCGGGGAGGCCCGGTTTGTTTTTATTTTATTTTGTTTGTCCTTTGTTTCATTATCTTCCACGAGTGAGATCACACAGTATTTGTTTTGCTCGTTCTGACTTATTTTGCTTACCATAGTCCCCCCAGTTTCATCCAGTTGTTGAAAAGGACAAGATTTCACCTTTTATGTAGCTGAGCAGTATTCCTTTGTGTATATGGACCACATCTTAATCCACTCATCTGTTGATGGGCACTTAGGTTGCCTCCAAGTCTTGGCTATTGTAAATATGGCCTCCATGAACATTGGGGTGCAGATACCTTTTTGAATTAACATTTCCCTAAAGTCCTTCGTATTTAAATATCGTGCTACCAGCAATGGTTTCCTGACCTCATGAGTCTGATTGAGACGGCCCCGGTCATGGGGTCTTGTCCAGTCATGACATGACCTGCAGGCCAGCTGCGAGCCTGTCCTGTGGTTCTGTCTTCGGCCCCTCCTTCAATCTTTCTGTCCCAAACCCACCCATCCTTGGAGGTGCAGCCCCTCCTCTTGTATTTCATTACAGCCGCCTGCCCTTCTTTCAACTGCCCACACTGCTCCCTAACTCTGTGGCGGTGGCCCTGAGTTTTCATGTTTCTCTCTGTCCCCACTCCCGCCGCTCCTGCTCCACGCCTGCAGCCACCCCCTTGTCTCTGCACTGTCGCCTGATAACTTTTTAAAGAGCTACTTTTATTTGTACACACACATGTAAATATGTCATCTGATTGTGTATCTAATCAAATCTACTCAGCTATCACCTCGCTAGGTCACAGCATCGTAGACTGACAGGTGCCCCCGATGTGTTGAATTCCTAGCTCCCTGGACCTCAGAACGTGCTAGATTTGGAGCTGGGGTCTTAGATGAGGTAATTAAGTAAAACGAGGCCATCAGGGTAGGTTCTCGTCCAACCTGAGTGGGTCCTTGTTAGAAGAGGCAACGCACTAAAGGAGAGCACCCTGTAGGGACACCGGGAGCACCGACATCTAAAGCCCTGGAGAAGGGCCTCCCTGGTGGCACAAGGGGTTGAGCATCAGCAGAAGCTATTGGCAGCCACTGCAGCACGAGTTCGATCCCTGGCCAGGTTGCTGACCCACATGGCATAGCAGATCTCTCCTGTCTTCCCGCTGTTCCCCTCAGCAGTGGATTTCAGTAGATCTGCCTGTTCTGCTCTCCACTCTGTTTCTGGTGAGTCCTCTCACCCCCACACCTCTGGCCTACACCCCAGCTCTTGTATGCATAAATAAACAAATCTTAAAAAAATGTAAAGCCCAGGAGAGAGGCCTCTGAAAAAATCCACCTGCCAACACCCAGATCTCGGACTCCAGACACCTGAACTGGAGATTGGGGGTTGGGTGCTTCTGGGGTCCGGGCGCCATCTGTGGTGCTTGGTTGCAGCGGCTCCAGGAGATGAGTCCAGTGAACTGGTCACGAGTCCGGGGTGCTGGACAAAGGCCAAATTTCTCAGCTTGATATTCAAGACCCCTACGGCCCAGTGTCCACCTCCCCGCCCTTTGCCCTCAGGGTGTTCTCTTCCTGGGCAGCTTCCACCTGCCCGTCTGGCACGCAGACCCAAGCCAAGGTCACACCAAGGCCAGCCCGACCGTGATGCTCTGTCAACCAGCCAGGAGACCTGCAGGTCTGCTCACTGCAGACGGGACAGTGATTTCCAAACTGTATTCCCCGGGGCACCCCACCCGGGCTCCCGTGTGTACTGGGGGGTGACATCAAGTGAGAAGCAGCTTCTCCCAGGCCCTCGAGCAAGCAGAGCAAGCGGTTTGTTTGCTTTTCCACATATTATTTTAAAAAGGGTTCTGTGGGGCCGAAACGATGCTGGCGAGCACCGCTGGAAGTCCCTCCCAGAGTGTAATGACAGCAAAATGTCCAAAACAGTCATGTGAAGCTAATGGACCTTGCTCAGGAAACACTGAACCGAACAAAGCCCATGACGCTTCTGTCTAGGCTCCTGTGCTCCTCGCGAGGGGTAAATTCAATTATCAAAACTCATTGATTCTGAAAATGTCACTCCCATAGCAGACTGGCTGCTCTTACCCCATTAACGTGACCGCCACCGGCCGCCTCGTTAAGCCACTCTCTGGGTAGGAAAGGGTGGCGGATTGGATCCTCCGATACAGATGTGGACACAGTCAGGTCACAACTGGCCGGGCGGTGGTTGAACAACGGCTTCGTGAAGAAATCCATCCCTGCTGCTTTTTTTTTTTTTTAAAGATTTATTTATTTATCATACAAGAGCTGGGGTACAGGCCAGAGGTATGGGGGGGTGAGAGGATTCACCAGAGACAGAGTGGGGAGCAGAACAGGCGGATCTACTGAAACACACTGCTGAGGGGAGCAGCGGGAGACAGGAGAGGTCTGCCCCATGTGGGTCACCTCCCTGGCCGGGGATCGAACTTGTGCTGCAGAGGCTACAGGTAGCTTCATGGTGCTGAGACTTAATTCCTTGCGCCAACAGGGAGCCTCCCATCCCCATTTCTTGGAGCTGAACTTAGGACCAGGCTGCGTCTCTTCATTGCAATCTAAAAAGCACACTGAGGTCTTTGTGATTTCTGCAGCGATGATATTTCCTGCAGGAGTTAACTGCACATCTTGTATGATTGTGAGGCCACGACGAGACACCGAGAGGAGAGCTGCCTCACATCCACTCTCCAAGGGCTGCATAGACAGGGGCGGAGGGAGGAGACGTCTGGGCATCAAGCCCACTCCACCCAGGTCCTGTGGTGCAGCTCCCCTTTCAGGGTGTATCGCCGAGACGGGGATGTCACCAGGTCAGGGGCTGAAGGCTGAGCCATCACACCCCAGGTTTTTAGGCTTTGTGCTTAGACACGGTCCCCCCCTAAGTTTCTGGGAACTAAGCTAAGGTCCTTCTCCAGGTTTGGACCTTGTGCTTTGGAGACCTGCAGGAAGAAGATCCCGGCCCAGGGGTTTCTTAGCCCAGATGGTTTCTTAGCTTCTCAGTATCAGCAGCATATGAATCTGCAGCGGGGCCATGGGGCGCCCACCGCTCAGTAAGCCGGGAAAGACTGCTCAGACCTTCCCTGTAGAAATATGCAAGTTTGGGCCTCCCTGGTGGCGCAGGCGGTTCGCCGCACTGTGAAGCTGTCAGCAGCCTGTGAAGCTGTCAGCAGCCTCTGCAGCGCGGGCTCGATCCCGGCCGGCGAGAATCTCACATGGCATGGCAGACCTCTCCTGTCTCGCCCGCTGCTCCCCTCAGCAGTGTATTTCGTCAGTCTGCCTGTTCTGTTCCCCACTCTGTCTCTGGTGAATCCTCTCACCCTCCTGCGCGTCTGGCCTGTACCCCGGTTCTTGTATAAATAAATAAATCTTTAAAAAAAAAAGAAATACGCAAGTTTTCCTCCCACCTCCTCCCCCAGCACGCACAGGTATTAGATCTCAGCTCCCTGCATTTTTTTTCCCGAGAAAAGGACCATTCCCTTGGAGTCAAGGTAAGATTATGCTGCCACAGATGGATCTTGTGTGAGACGTGAGCCCTCCCTCCTCTGGAGGAGTATCATTCGTTTTCTCATAAAATTCCATAACTGGATTCATAAGGCAGCGCCATCCACCTGATTACCCCGGCCCGTCAGAGCCCCGCCATAGATTTCCTATGTTTCTGATCAGTTGCCATGGATATGGCTTTGGGTATCGCGGTTCTCAGCGTCCGCGAGCTGCACTTTTGTGGACTTCACCCACTGGAAGCACTAATTTGGGGAAGGCGCTCAGGATAAACCTTTTTTGTTTGTTTTTAATTCTTTTTCACACGAGTGGAAGGATTACAGAGCCAGGGGAAGCAGTGGGGAGGGGAGCTGGAACAAATTTGCCATATGCTTGCTTATTACCAAGCATTTGCATCTCATGCGCACTCAGCTCCCATGGCCGGCCTGCTCTGGAGAGATTTCCCTCCGAGGTGGC